TGAATGGTCCAGCAGGTGGAACCATAGGAGGTATTCCAGTCATTACTGACGGATAGGACGGGACCAACTGTAGCGAAACAGCGGAAAAATGTCACTAATGTCAGGAAACAAAAGTCTGTTCATGCTGATTTAGGCTGTTTCTGGCCTTTAACGTGAAATCAAAATTGACCATATTTAAGTAAAGCACATTGTTGAACTCAAGTTTACATCTCAAAGTTCAGTTTTTTTAAGCTTCTGTCACTGAATAAAAAATTAAAAAGGTAATTGTGACTCACAATTCTTCTTTTCTTACAATTGCAAGTTTTGTCTTGTCTTAGAATTGCGAGAAACAAAGTCAGAATTGTGAGATATAAATGCAGAGTTATGAGATATAAACTCGTAATTAAGAGGGAAAAGTCAGAATTGTGAGATATAAACTCAGAATTCTGACTTTTTTTCTTGAAATTCTGAGTTCACAGCTTGCAATTCTGACAGTTTTTCCTCACAATTCTGAGTTTACATCCCACAATTTTTATTTTTTTTTGCTTCCTCCACAGAATAATAAAATAAAAAAGGTAATTGCAACTCTCAATTCCACCTTTTTTTCTTGCAATTGCAAGTTCTCAGAATTGCAGAAAAAAAGGGTGAGAATTGTGCGATACAAAGTCAATTACCTGTTTTTTTTGTTTTTTTTATTCCGTGGCGGAAACAGGATGAATCCGTAAAAGAAACATGCCACTCAAATCACAGGCCATGATGTGCACAAGATATATAACTTACACTGTGTCTATGGAAGGTGTCCACTTTAGCGGGGTATTTGTCAAACTGCAAGAAAAGAGAAAAAGAGATATTTACCTTAACTTAGAATTTCAGCTCAAAACATTGATTATTATGAGTGCTGATTATGAGTATTTGTCCTCACTTGTCTGGCAGGGGTACGCACCAGTGGTGCTGCTGGGTTGGGCATGATGGAATGGGAGAAGGGAGAGAAGGTGTGCTGATGTGTGTGTTGGTGTGTGTGCTGGTGCTGGTG